ATTAATGTCTATTAATTTCTGTTTGTAAATTAATTTAAATTAATTTCTAATAACTAATTCATTCAAATTGATTTAGAAAACATTTGCTGAAATTAATTTCAAATCAAAGATTAATCTGAACGAATTTTTGTATCCAAATTAATGTAAATAATTACAAAAAAAATTAATGTAAATTAATTTCAAGTTTTTCAAAACCAAAATAGGTACTTATTTCGGTTTAGAAATATTTTCAAGAATTTCTGAGAGTGCCATTGGATTCCTCGAAAAAAGTTGCTTCGGGAAACTTAGCCTCTAACTATATCAGATATACTATGGGGACTTTGAGTTTTTTCTTTTTTGAAAAACAATATTGAAATCTTCACCAACTATTTGAACTAATTTAGTTTCAAATTACTTTAGATTAATTTTTAACCGAAAATTAATATAAACTAATTCCCATGTAAATTGATTTAAATTGGTTTAGATCTAAATTAGTTCCAACGAATTTTTAATCTAAAATTATTGTAAATTAATGCTTTTTCCAATCAATTTAAACCATTCTAAAATCACAAACTCGTTTAAATTAATGCGGTAGGAAATTAACAACGATAAAGTCTGCAAAAATTAATTCAGATTAATTTTAAGTTGAAAATTGTTTTGAATTAATTTCTGTCGGATTAGTGTAAATCGATTTATTACTAAATTGAGTTAAAGGAATTTGGAAAAACATTAATTCAAATTAATTTGACTTTCAAATTAGTGTAGAGTTTTCGAATTAATGTACACTAATTCGAAGCTCGAAATTCGTGTATATTAATTTAATATGAGACTTTGTATAAGGCGGTAACGAGGGAAATTAATTTTTTCACGAAAAAATGAACTAAAATTAATGCCAGTATTTTTAAATTAATGCGCATTCATTTGAAGTATATTTTTTTAATTTTTTTATCATTTATTCAAAGATTTAAATTGATGCACATTAATTCTGAACGCCAAAAAGCTTTTTAAATTAACGTGAACGAATTTCCTTTCAAATTTGTTCAAATTCCTTTGAATTTCGAAATTACCTTGCATTAATTCGAAAGTATTTAAAAGTTCCAATGGGTAAGGCACGCTGAAGTATAAGGTTGTATTGTAGTCAGGTGCTAATATATGCTGGCCTGTGGTAAAAATTTAGCTTCTTAGATGTGTTTAATTATAGGCCTACAGGCATCTCTCTCATTCATTGTAAAAAGCATTATTCTTCTGGTTGTTATATATTTTAGTTAGAATAATTATAGCTTAATATAGGAACAATATCTTAGCCATAAGTTTTCACAATGTACCGAAAAGAACTCATAGTTTAGAATATGTAGCATAAATCCTCTTAAAGTATCTGACCGCTGGAGTATTACATATGAAATCACTTAACCGAAATTTCTGGGTGCTTGCTTAGTAATTTCGTTACTTCTCTGCAGTTTCATACCGATTTTTTAGATAAATAAAGTTAGTACGAAGAAAAAGCACTTATTTGCAATATGGTTTGGTACGTACATAATACTTTTAATTATGCTTAAAATAAAGATGAAAACAGCGTTTTTTTGTAAACTGCTGCTGAATATATATAAGAACATGATAAGCAGCGTACGAGTATAGACTCACTCTCTATATTCCGAAAGCTGTATTTTCCTTTGTTTCTTTCTCTTTGTGGGCAGTCAGCCGGTTTGTTTATAAAGATGAGACTTTTCTTGTGCCGTTCTTCCTGATTTGTGAAATATTTAGCCTGCCTCAAAGTTTTCCATAGAAAGTTTTCTTTATTGAGCTCGTTACGACTGGAAACGAAAAGCAGAGTAAAACTAAAACTGAATGGAAACGAACATTTAGAATAAAGTTATTTATTTGTCATTATCACTTTTCATCAGTCTTATCACTATCAGAAACATCATCAACTACAACAGCTTTAATTGTAAATGAACATTTACCATGAATATAAAACCAATCATTATCATTTGGTATTTGATAGTGAAGTTTTTTTGAACGATGGATTGAAAAATGGAGATCGTGACCTAAAACGAAACGATTCCTACCATATATTTTCATACTTGTATGTGATTTTAATTCATGCAATAGTTGTAAATTTCGTCTTGCTTTATTGCCACGAATCTAAAACGGCAAAGCATAAATGAAAAATGCAATTATTGAAATGCAATTAAAAATGCAATTAAAACTTTTGGTTTAGGTGAAAAGCTCCATCTGAAACTGGGAATGTTTTTTAAAGTCTAACAAAAGATATGTAATGCGGGATTTTTCGACATGTTCAGTAGCTATGATCGCCTGTCTTTGCATATTTTATGAGGATGAGATCGCTTTTTCGAGAATATAAAACAGAACATGTATTTATGAACATATAAGGTTGCAAAAATACAAAAAGTCAGCAGAATTTATCCTTTATTTTCTT